ACACAACATCAGTAAACAGCATGGTACTTTGGTCAGGACTTCTATGTCTGCCCTCCTTTCCACAAAGGAACCTGCCTGTGTTGACAAATGAGGTCTTAAGAAGAGCCTGACATCAATGTTTTTTCAACCTCAATCCTAGCGTAAAGTCAGGAGGTAGTTTATGCACCAAAACAATTAAAAAACAAAAAACACTTTAAGCCAGGTGGCAGCAGTGGTGGCGCTGGCACACACTCTTAATCCCAGCACTCGGGAGTCAGAGACAGGATGATCCCTGCGAGTTTGAGGCCAGCCTGGTTTACAGAGCAAGTTCCAGGACAGGCTCCAAAACAATACATAGAAACCCTGTTTTCAAAAACAAAAACAAAAAACAAACAACAGCAACAAAACATTTTTATTAAATTTAAGTACCTACTACTCTGCCTCCAAATTTAACGTTTTGGCCTCTTCAACCCTCTTTCTTTCTCCCTCCCTTCCTCCTTCACTTCCTTTCTTTTAAAAGATTTATTTCTATGTTATGTGTATGGATGTTTTGTCTGCATATATGTCTGTGTACTACATGTGTGCAGTGCCAGGAGAGGTTGTCAGATCCCCTGGAAGTGACGTTCAAGGTGGCTGTGAGCCCCCATGTGGGTTCTGGGAATGGAACCAGGGTCCCCTGCAAACAGCAAGTGCTCTTAACTGTTGAACCGTCTCTCCAGTCCCACAAATGACTATTTTTGTGCCTGTTTTCCCAAGTACATGTATGAGAGTTTCTATTTAGCTGTCAGTAGAAGAGTTGTTGATTTCTAGGGTATGCACATATTGTGTTTAACAGTTTTTCTGAAAGTGGTTATATGAGATTTCCCGCAATACCACATTCTGATTTTTCTGCCCATCTGTTAGGCATGAATTAATGTATCATGTTCTGTTAATTTTGCATATCTCTGATTACTTATGAACTGTTTATCTTTTCCTTTTTACTGACCACTTGATTTTTACTCTTCTGTGACTTCTTTATTTGACTTTCTTATCCTGTCTTAGTCTGTGTTCTATTGCTGTGAAGAGACACTGACCACAGCCACAGCAACTCTTTTATTTATTTATTTATTTTGGTTTTCTGAGGCAGGCTTCCTCTATGTATCCCTGGCTGTCCTGGAACTCACTCTGTAGACCAGGCTGGCCTTGAACTCACAGAGATCTGCCTGCCTCTGCCTCCTAAGTGCTAGGACGTAAGGTGTGCACACCACCACCACCAGGCGGACCACAGCAACTCTTATAAAAGAAAGCATTTAATTGGGACTGGCTTACAGTTGTAGAGGTTTAGTCCATTATCATCATGGCACGGAATATGGTGACATGCAGGTAGACAAGGCACTAGAGAAGTATGCGCGAGTTACATCCAGATCCACAGGAGGCAGAAAGGAAGTGAGACACTGGGCTACCTTGGGCTTCTGAAATCTCAAAGCCCACCCCCAGTGACACACTTTCTCTAACAAGGCCACCCCTACTCCAACAAGGCCACACTTACTCCCACAAGGCCACACCTCCTAATCCCTCCCAAGTAGTGCCACTCCCTGATGACCAAGCATTTCAAGTCTAGAAGCCTATGGGGTCTGCTATTCCTACTCAAACCACCATACCCCCTTTCGTTTTTGGCCCTTTTCTCAATGATTCACAGAAGTTCTTTATATATTCTGTACACTGACTCTTTGTGAACTTCATGGTCACAGGAGTTGCCTCCTAAACAATAATTTGATTTCTCAGTTTTAGTATATTTTATACATGAAAGTTTTTATTTTTAAGGTGGTTGAACTTATCTATTTTAAACATTATGATTGAATCTTTTCCCTTGAATCTAAGACACACTTTCCTACTCCAAGGTGATATACAATGCTCTCTCTTGACTTTCACAATTAGCTCTTTAGCCTATCTGGAATTTATTTTCAACAAGTATAAGCATTAAGGATAATATTTTTAATATCAGTAGTTCTGTTCTAAATGTTAATTAATTTATTTGGCTTATTATTATTATTATGGGGGGGTGAGCAGGTCATGGAACAGGTGTGGTGGTCAGAGGACAGTTTTGAGGATTATTCTCTCTTTCCACCTTGTGTTTGAGGCAGGGCTTCTCTTGTCGCTTCTGCCACGCTGTATGCCCCAGACCTGTGAGCTCCTGAGAGTCCCCCCTGTCTTCCCCCATCTCACCATAGGAACATTGGGATTACAGATGGGTATCACTACCTCTGGCTTTTTGTGTGGGTTGCAGGGGATCGAACTCAAGCTTTTGTGGCAAACAAATTTACCCACTGAGCCATCAAACCAGACCTTAATCCTTCTTAGAAGATGGATCAGTGACTGCCTCCCCCCTCTCCTTCCCCCGAGGACCCCCCCCCCGCTTTTAAGCCCTTTTTCTTGCCTGGCACCATGGTACTACTCAGGGGGGGTCTTGGCTATTTTGATACTTCACTGTTCCATATAAATGTTAGAATCACACTGTTGTTTTCTACAGAAAACCCTATTGCCTATAATAGTAATGGTTTTATATATTAAGGATAACTGCCATCCTTCCATTATTTCCTTGTTTTTAAAATAATTTCAATGATGTTATATGATTATTTCTATTAGATGATCTCCCCCAAAATTGGGTAAATTTCAGTTATGTTATGCTTATTTACCTTCTAGTTTTGTTATTTTGACAACTATTTTGAAATTATGGGACTGGGGAACTGGCTCAGTCAGTAAAGTGCTTGTCACATGTGCATAACCTGAGTCTGGGTTTCTAGAACCCATGTAAAAACATCTGGGTGTGAGGGTGCATGCCTGCAATCCTAGCACTGAGACAGGAGGAGCCTTGGAGTTCACTGGCTAGCTAGTATTGCTGAATTCATCAGCTCTGAGTTCAGTGAGAGATCCTGTCCCGAAATAAGGTGGAGATCAATTGAGGGAAACATCTGACTTTGACTTCTGCCCAGTTAGTATGTCTCCCCCAGCTCATCCGTATCTGCTTCTGCTTCTCTAAGAGAATGAGACCCATGTGGACATGTGGTCTTCCTTTCTCCTTCTCCCTCAAGCTGTAAACTTGCCTGTCAGAATTGATTCTTGTGAAACCATCAGGAATTAGAAAATATTTGTTGGTACCCTTTCCTCATTGGAAAAAAAAAGTAATCACTGGAAACATCTGCATTGTACCCATTCCTCCCCGGCCCCACAAATGATCTTATAACTCTCTCTCACACCTTGTCTCCTCCCTGAATCTCTTGTGAATCCCCCATCATTCTTCTAGCAAGGGACATTAGAAATGGTGTTTCTCACACTCCTTTGTATGTAGACTGATATCTTCAACCAAACCTGTGTACTCAAATATTATGTGGAAGGAAGAAGTGAGGGGAGGCTGTCTTGCTGCTGCTTCTGGTAATCAAGGTTGAGAGTGTCTAGAAGTTGGAGTGGCAGATGGAGTTCTGATGGCTAGTGTCCAGTTTTGTGTATGTTCTCCTCAAATTGAGTAGGATAGATTCTGTACCTCTAGGCAACCCAGTCAAGTTGTAGACAGAAAGGAAATTAAGGGAGAAAAACAGAAAGCAGTAAAATGCAGTGTCTGGTCCTTTTCAGTCATTGTCTTTGTATTCAGGAAGGAAAGGTCTCCTTATGATCTATGGTCCGTATCTCATTACCAGAGCTATGCCATATCTTGGCCCCATCTCTCTTCAAGATGGAGTGGGGGTATAAGGATTTCATTGGGGGTTTAATGAATAAAGTGTTTGTTGTGCAAGCATGAGGAACTGAGTTCAGATCCTTAGACCCATGTAGAATCTGAGAGTGGTGGTTCACTGTAACCCCAGTGCTGGAGAGGATCCTTGGGACTTTCTGATAACCCAGGATAGTTGAAATGGGAAGCTCAAATCAGAGTTAATGGTAGTTAGATCAGACAGAGACTGTCTCAAAAAATAAAGTTACAAGCAATAGAATATGTCTGATGTGAACTGTGGCCTCCACAAGCACACACAGGCAAGTGCACCTCCTACACACATACTAACCCACACACACAAAGAACTCCACTTGTTGTATTTTGTTTTAGAGTAAAGTAGGAGAAAATATGGTTAAAACAGGTGCTAAGTCAGCTGATCTATACTGTCTGCCAGGAAAAGTGTTATCCCAAATGAGCAATCTCAGACTGAGAGAAGATATGATATGCCTAAATGAACTCATTCATCTATAGGCCTAGGTACTATGTTAGTCTGTTTGTGTGACACGTGTTTTGCCTGAAGAGAGGTGACAGTAGTCAATGTCCATTCTAGCTTCCTTAGCCTCAATACTTCTTATAGACACTCACAGACTTCAGACAGTGTCTCAGTTAGAGTTTCTATTGCTGAGATAAACACCATGGGCTATCGAGTATTAGGGTCTTGGCCATCCACGCAGTGCTGGGTATGGGCTCCATCTTGTGGAGTGGGCCTTGAGTCAAGTCAGATGTGGGTCGGTCACTCATTGCACTAGCATCTCTTTCAGGCAGGGCACCATTGTAAATCAGAGGGTTTGTGGCTGGGTAGTGTTTACATTTCTCCTTTGGTAGAGTACAGAACATTTTCCTGCACCAGAGATGATAGAATATAGGAGTAAAGGTTTGATGTAGGCACCAGTTTGACTTTTCCACATTCAATGAGTTGTGTAGGTGTTGTCTTCAACAATGGGGCCCTGCCATCAGTTTGTGGAGAGCAACCCATAGACTTGGCAACAACTTGGGTTGTTTGGGGGTTCCCATAGGACCCTTTTGGCCAACAACTCAATTAGATGCAGCCCAATCCCAGCAGTGGAAGCTTCATTTGGAGACAAGAGATGGCCAGGTGGGGCTCCGTATCCCGTGTGTGTGTGTGTATTAGGAAACTTCTAGTATATTAGGTTTTCAAATATCCCTTAGTTTTAACTGTCTCTTACCCCCATATTCCCTTTTTCCTCCCTCTTTCCCCTCTTCCCCCACCCCCATTCCATATCTGTCTATTCCATTTCCCTTTCTGTAGGGGGAAACAGGACTCCGCCATTAGCCACGTGGCACTCTAAAGACCATAAGGATGTAGTAACGAAAGGGCAGAACCGCGCCGCTAACCACACCCACTTTAGGCATGACTAGAGACAGGGAGGCGGAACTGCACCACGAGCCAGGCCCACGGGCGTGTACAGAGAAAGGAATAAGAGAATGAACAGCCGAGCGCTCGCCCCTTTCTCGGCTTCCAGTTCGGTGGCGGAAAACTGCTCGACTCCTCAGGGTTGCTCGTTTCTCTCTTGTGAGTAATTTCTACAATACCCTCAAGTGTGCCGTTAGTCGTTGCAGCGTCACCTTTCCTAGGCAGACCTATCTGTTCCCTCAAGCTAGTCTCTTACTCAGTACTCAGCTTCTGTGGTTTTATGTATTGCAGCTTGGTTATCATTACTTAACAGCTAATATCCACATATAAGCAAATTCATACCATACTTGTCTTTCTGAGTCTGGGTTGCCTCACTCAGGGCCGTGTTTTTCTTGTTCTATTCATTTACCTGTGAATTTCATTTTTCCCAACGGTTGTAAATGCACCAGGTTTTCTTTATCTGTTCTTCTGTTGAAAGACATCTAGGCTGTTTATTATTTCTGACTATTATGAATAGAGCAGCAATGAACATGGTTGAGCAAGTGTCTCTGTGGGAGAATGAAGCATCCTCTGGACATATGCTGAGTGGCGTAGCTGGATCTTGAGTGGCCTGTGAGGTTCCAGTGAGTGCCTGCTGGAGCTGGAGGCTGGAATAAAGCAATGAGTTGGTGGAAGGAAGTTTGGGGAACGGGGAAGATCAACGATAAGTTGTAAAACAGGAAAACTAGGAATGTCACAAAGCCCCAAATATATTTAAAGAAAGAGATCCAATCTTTTAACAAAAGAAAAGTCACAGTGGGGTTCTAGCTATCATATGAATGAAGCTTTTAAGGCCTGGCAGCACTTGACATTGGGCAGTGTCTTAGGGTTTCTATTGCTGCGAAGAGACACCATGACCAAAGCAACTCTTTTGTTTGTTTTTGTTTTTTGAGACAGGGTTTCTCTGTATTGTTTCGGAGGCTGTCCTGGCACTGGCTGTGTAGACCAGGCTAGCCTCGAACTCACAGAGATCCACCTGCCTCTGCCTCCCGAGTGCTGGGATTAAAGGCGTGTACCATCAATGCTCAGCCAAAGCAACTCTTATAAAGGAAAACATTTAATTGAGTAGCTTACAGTTTCAGAGGTTTAGTCCATTATCTCTATGGGGGGACATGGTGGCATGCAGGCAGACCTGGTGCTGGAGAAGGAGTTGGGAGTTCTACATTTTGATCAGCAGGCACCAGATGGAATCTGTATCACACTGGCAAGACTTGAGCTCATGAGACCTCAAAGCCCACCTCCATAGTGACACACTTCCTCCAACAAGGACACACCTCCTATAATCCCATTCCCTGTGGACCAAGTATTCAAACACTTGAGTCTATGTGGGCCATATCTATTCAAACCACCACAGGCAGTGTGTGGTGAAAGAGGAATTCTCTTGGGAGTGTAAATTAGCACCACTGTGTAACACGAGTTCTGATTGGTCTTAATAATAAAAACCCAAAGCCAGATAAGACATTGGGGCAAATGCTGAAAGATCAGAGAGGAAAGAGAAGCCATGCCCAACTCTTACCTTGCTAACTCCTCCGCTGAAAGAGGCCAAGTTCCTGTCTCCTCCTACCTCATACTCTTCTCTCCACCCAGCCATATCACTTCCTGTCTATCTGTACAGATCTCCAGACCTCTGTGGTAACTGGTGGCTAGCCCTGCCCTCTGATCTTCAGGCAAGCTTTATTTGTTAGAGTATAAATAAGATATCAGCACACCATGCTTAGGATAATTTGTTTTTGCATATTAAGTGGAAGATCTACATACCCAATGACCCTGAAATTCCTTAGAAGAATTATGAAGGCAAAAGTTCCAATAACAGTATCGCCTGCAATGTCCTAGGGCTGGGGTTCATGCCCTCAGTAGTAGAGAATATAAACTGGTATGTCCATACAATGGAGCAGTATATAGCAATAAAATGAAACCAGCTGAATCCCACAAACACAATTTTAAACAAAATAAGCCATACTCAAATTAATATATTCTATATGATCTTGTCTCTATACTATTTTGAAGACTATCAAGCCAAGCTACTGTGTTTAAACAGAATTGCACACTTTAGTAGAATGTGAGTGCTGTAATCACCAGGGTAGAGTTCTACCTGTTAGGGAAGAAACAGGGCTGTGGATAAGAAGGGGTGCATGAGTTTGCTTCAGCAGAGCTACAGAGACTATCTTCCATGAGTTGCACTGCTTACCTGGGTGGCCAGGCTGTGGAAATGAGTAAAGTCCCTGTTCATGCTCGCTTTTTCCCTATTTCAGAATAAACAGCATAAAACAATACACATTAGATTTGGAAAGGAACACAAGAAGCCTTTGGGTGCAGGTCTACTCCATCTAGCAGGCCAGATGTCTTTCATCCCCATCAGTGTAGGCTAGCTGCTCCATCAGATAACACCTGAAACTGAGTCTTAAATGACATATGGGAATTGATAAGTAGAAAAAGAGCAGATTTTCCAGCATAGCCAGTGGTAGTACTGGGAGGAAACTTCTGGCTGCTGATAGGGACAGTCCTCATTACAGAGGCCATGTGCAAGTATATCAAAACTCTCTCTTTAAAAACATTACATTTAGCCGGGCGTTGGTGGCACATGCCTTTAATCCCAGCACTCGGGAGGCAGAGGCAGGCGGAGCTCTGTGAGTTCGAGGCTGGGCTGGACCAACAGCCTCCAAAACAATACAGAGAAACCCTGTCTCGTAAAAACCAAAAAAAAAGTTACATTTATTCATTTATATCAGGGGTACATGACACATATGGGAGCCAGAGAACTGACTGCTTTCTGGAGATAGTTTTCTCCTTCCAGAGTGTGGATCCTGGGGATCGAACTCTGTAAGCACGTTTACCCAATTAGCTATCTTACCACCCTAAGGCTGATGACATTTTGTGAGGTTTGTCTTAAAATGCCATGAAGCTTTGTGTCCGTCTATGTGACATGTGTGTTCATGTGGATATGTTCAGGAAGCTGTTTGAATGGAGTGGGCATGTGGAAAACAAGGGTTGATGTGGCATGTTTTCCTCCATCGCTCACGCCTTTATCCTTTAAAACAGCATTCCTTACTAGACTCGGAGCTCCAGGGATCTGATTTTAGCACCCCACCGCTTTTTACGAGGAGGGTGGGGATCTGAACTCAAGTCCCATGCTTACACTGCAGGTACTTTACCAACTACCTCCCCATCCCCTGCATGAGTCTTTTTATGGCTCACCCCACCCCACCCCATCAGCACAGAAGCTCCTGAGTGACCAGGCTGTGCTTCTCCTTGGGCCTCAGCCTGAACTGTGCTCAGCAGCTTAGCTGAATCCCCCTGTGACCATCAGGCCATCAGCAGTGTTCTCCCGTGACCATCTGGGTTTTAGGTGATGATTCCCCCAGATGCCCTGCTTTTGCAGTTTTTGTAGTTTTACATTATTTCATCTGACTGTCCCATAGCCCTAACCCTTATGGAGCTGTTTGCCCCGCCCCCTGTATTTTCGGCAACCAATGTAATTAATGTGCTGTCTAATGTGTTTTCCTGGAACTGTGATTACGCTCAAGGTATCTCAAAGCTTTTTACTGTAATTACTGGGAAAAGGCTTTGAGAGAATTAGCTGTGCATGTGGAGTGAGCTGTAATCTGGCCCTTGGACGCTTAGATATTAAAAATCACTCTGACTGTGTCTGCCTTCATTTGCATTTCCAAATTTTCAGGTTAGAGGGCCTTTCAATTGATTGAATAATGGGTTAATGGAATCCTCTCCCTAATTATATCCAGATTGTCTCTTTGGGAAAGTACACTCTTGACAGTCTCCAGCTGGATCATCCTAATTGCATTCTGAGGGGACCATGGGGGCTGCCTTGAAGAAGGCACTGTCCTATCTGAGGGTAGAAACTCTGTTAAGAGGCAGAGGAGCAGGGCCACTCAGGGGCTATTCAGTTCCATTTATGGCTGTAACATGAGATTAGTAAGAGGGTCTGGCTGGGACTTGCAGGCCACCATCCATCCTGTGGCCAGAACAATGGCTGCCCCTGCTTCCTGTCCTGGGTGCTTGATGTTCTAGGGTCTACCTGTCTCTGTCCGTCATCCTAACACTAGGCTTACAGATATGTGGTGCTGTGTATGACATTTTTGTGGGTGTTAGGAATCTGGACTCGGGTCCTCATGCTTTTCTGGCAAGAGTGACTGAGCCATCTCTCAAGAGCCTTGTCCTAGTTTCTTTCTGTTATTGTTGGAAATGTCATGGTCAAAAGTAACTTTGGGAAGAAAGGGACAACTCATTGTCTATCAGCAAGGGAAGTCAGGGCAGGAACTCTAGGCAGGAACCTGGAGGCAGGAGCAGTAGAGGAAAGCTGTTTACTGACTAGCTTCCTCTGGCTTGTGCTCCAGTACAGCCCAGGACCACCTGCCAGGATGGCACCGTCCACAGTGAGCTGAGTCCTCTCACATCAATCAGCAGTCAAGACAGCTCCCCACAGACATGGCCACAGGCAAATCTGATGTAGCAGATTCTTAGATTGAGGTTCCCTCTTCCCAGATAACTCTAGTGTGCATCAAGTTGACAATACAAACTAACCAGTACATTTATTTTATTTTGAAACAGATTATCTTGTATCCCAGGCCAAACATATGCTCACCTACGACCAAGGACTTGGCCTTGAACTTCTGATCTTCCTGGTTCCCCTTCCCATGAGGTAGGATTCTAGGCAAAAATCACCATGTCTTAAAGATACTGGGTAGTGTATAACAAATGGAACTTTATCTCTTATGGTTCCAAAGGCTGGGGAAGAGAGATTGAAGGTGTTCATCTGGGGAGGCTCTTCTTGTTGCAGGGGAGTCCTTTAAAGTGTCCCAGAGTAGTTCACACAGCACATGGTAAGGAGCTCATGTGAGATAACCAAACCCCTCAGGGACCTGTTGGTCTATGAATCTATTTTTTTCATTGATCCAGTAACAACCTACAGGTTGTGCTTCCGAATACCTCTAACATATGAATTTGTGGACTATATTCTAAACAAAGCATGGTAAGAAAAGCACACTGGGTGTGCCCATTACAATACTTAGACATAAAACATAACAGATAGGATTTTAACACATGCTTACACTTACAAGTATGACAACTGAATCTTTCTCCAGCCACCAGGGAAGTTACAATCAAAACCAAAAGGAGACATCACTTCATACCCACTAAGATGCTATCACCAGTAATAGCATGCAATGGAATGCCAATCCAGGAAAAAGTTGGCAGGTTCCCAAAACGTTAAACAGAATTATCATGTGACAGCAATTCCAGCCAAGAAATCTGAAAACATAACATTTAAATAAAAATGTATATATTAATGTTCAGAACAGCATTCTTTGTAGCAGTCAGAAAGTCAGACAACACAATTTCCTATTAACTGACGGACAGATAAACATAAGTTGAGTGTGGCCATACAACAGGACACTAATAGTTAGTTCACACATCTCCTATCTTCTGCTCTCTCCCCCACATCAGCCACCATCACCTCCTGCAATGTCTCTCTCTCTCTCCCCCTTCCTTTCTTGGCCTCCCTCCATCTCTCTCCCTAACTACAGAGAGTTGCTATGACTTTGAAACTCTTACAAAGATTTGAAACTTCTTCCTCCCCTTTGCAACTTTGAGAAAGTCTAGCTTCCTGGTGTCTAGACCCAAGACAACCTTGGATTATTGAAAAATCCCAGCAGCTACCAGGAAAGATAAAGAAAAAGCCACGCCTTTTAAGTTAGATGTAGAATAGAAATAGAGACAGCTTTCTAAGAAAGGAAAAATCACTCCCCAGAATGGAAGTAGGCTGAGAAAAGTGCCCTGAAGCCTCTGACCTTGCTGCATATGGCCTTTTAAACCCCACTCCCCTTACCTCTTCACTTTTTTTATTTTTCTTCTTTTTTAATAATTTAAATTAGAAACAAGCTTGTTTTACATGTCAATCCCAGTTCCCTCTCTCTCCCCTCCTCCCCTGCTCCCCACCAACCCCCTTCCCCGTCCCCTTTCTGCTCCCCAGGGAGGGTGAGGCCTTCCATTGGGGGTCTTCAAAGACTGTCATATCATTTGGAGCAGGGCCTAGGTACTCCCCTGTGTATCTAGGTTGAGAGAGTATCCCTCTATGTGGAGTGGGCTCCCAAAGTCCATTCATGTACTAGAGATAAATACTGATCTACTACTAGAGGCCCCATAGATTAACCAGACCTCCAAACTGACATCCACGTTCGGGGGACTGGGACAGTCCTGTGCTGGTTTTGCAGCTATCAGTCTGGGGTCCATGGGCTTCCACTTGTTCAGGTCAGCTGTTTCTGTGGGTTTCTCCAGCCTGGTCTTGACTCCTTTGCTCATCACTCCTCCCTCTGTGCAACTGGATTCCAGAATTCAGCTCAGTGTTTAGCTGTGGGTGCCCGATTCTGCTTCTATCAGCTTCTAGATGAAGGCTCTAGGATGGCATATAAGGTAGTCATCAATCCCATTATTGGAGAAGGGCATTTAAGATAGCTTAGATTGTTAGTTGGGGGTCAACCTTGTAGATCTCTGGACATTTCCCTAGTGCCAGATTTCTCTTTAAACCTATAATGGCTCCCTCTATTATGACTCTTATCTAGGACCTGTCTCCATCCTAACTCATGGCATATAGGCTAGGTCACATAGTGTGGAACATAAACACCCCACACTTCAGTAGAAAATGCTAAGAATCAGAAACTGCCTTTGTCCTATAAAATCGAAGGCTCCTTCTCCCTTCAAGGCTGTCGATGGTGTGACACTATAACTCTTCTAGTATTCTGGGAACTCCTTTTAGTACTCCTGTCACACTGCCCATGATGGCTGCCTCTTCCTAGATGTCTCACTCTCCCAGCTCAGGCCAAGATGCTGTAGCTTTCCTGATAAGGCTCACCTGAAGGGTAATTAGCATCAGCTTCCTTTCTGGGAGCTTGCAGCATCTTCCATTGTTTATAACACCAATACTCTTATCCCAAGCCACCTTTTCTCATCACAAGTGTTAATGAGCTTAGCCATCTAGGAAGATTACAGGCCAGAATGGGTGGTATGGAACAGTAGACCTCCTCAACCTCAACCATTCAAGGCACTCCATTCACAAACCAGACCGTTTTATGCCTACATTATCTGGTTATACAGAATGCCTCATTGGTATAACTGAGGTAGGTGGTATTGGGACACCTGATGGTATAGTTTGAGCTCTCCAATTTTATTTGGACACAATTTCAAATGTGTCAGTTCTAGGTTATAATGGATTGCTGCTTGTGGCTCCCACACTTATGATTTGGTGGAAGTGACAAGATCCAACTTAGAAGGTCAGTTCAAGTCACACAGTCCCAGATGGTCATGTGCTCATTCTGTACCAAGAACTACTGTTGAAACAATGGCTGTCTGTTATAGGAACCAGTCCTTCCTCAGCACCTAATGTTTGTGCTGCTACTGTCCTAAAAGAACTCAGAGATTCTGTCTGTGCAGCTTCCTTATCCTCTAACCCTGTCTGTGTGACTTCAAGGACAGCACTGCCTTAAGGTAGCCTGGGCCAGCTGAGGAGCCCACTCTAGGTCAGCTTCAAACCAGCAGCATTCCAGTTCATCTGATAAACAGAACCAAACAGTCTTACAGTCATGACCTGTGCTGTCTCCAGAATCCAGTAACCTTCCAAGTATGACTCGGTTCTTTCTTAATGCTAAGGCTGATAAAACACAATCATTTCCCCTTTATTTGATGAGACTATTCCAGCATATTCCACACTGTTGGGCAGCTAAAATATTACTTCATCAGTGTGGGCGGCCTCTGGATTTTTTTTTTGTAGGAGTTCTCATTTACTCTCTGGTTCCAGTGTCTTCCAGAATGCTTGTCAACTCCCCCTCCTAGATTTGATTAATGTGATTTTACCCATATGGTGAACCAGCATACATCTCTCCAGAATATTGAGAAGATTTATTTTTGGCTGTATTTGTTTGTGGCAGGGCTATATTGACAGGAAACAGAAGAGTCTCTCTGGCTGTGGATGGATGAGCCCTGCTCTTGGCCCTAGACAACCAAGAACTTACTGACCTGCTTTATTAACAGGTTGGAAATAACACACTCTCTAAATGAAAAGGCACCACCAGTTACCAAAAGGTGTGTTGATATGTTTAGCAAAAACAATAAGTTTGGGGGCTACAGAGATGGCTCAGGGGTTAAGAGCACTTGCTGCTCTTGCAGAAGACCTGGGGAGTGTTGCCAGCATCCATGTGGTGGCTCACAACCATCTGTACCTCAAAGGCACCCAATGCCATCTTCTGACCTCTGTGGGCACTGCATGTATGCACACAGGGCACTTACATATACACACAGGCAGAACATTCATAAAATAAATATCAGCAAATTAATAAAAAAACTAAATACTTAGTTTGGCACAACAGCTGAGATTGTGACTACCACTTTCTGGAACTTATATTAACCCACAAACTGATTTTTAAGCTCTTGAGAGTGGTGCTAATCTCTACAACTCTGCCCAGGATGCAGTCTCGCTCCAATTTGAGTGGGAGGTAGCTTAAGGAACTCCCATTTTTTGCTTTTTATACTGCAATGCCTCTTATCTCACAAGCTAGGAAACCTACTGCTAGGTAGATCCATCTCATCTATGCACCAGGAACTGGAAAGTGAGTTTGGACTAGAATTCATGTAACAGTTGATGTCTATAAAGCTCCCTCACTCTAAGAACAAGGACAATGTCAGTATTTTGTGTCCTGTGGCATTGATGTCAACTCAGACTCATGTCCAACAGCTGATAAATGTCTCTTAGGACCATTCTGGGGACAGAATGAGGGCACCAAGTCCCTTTGGAGGGAGGGGGGAAGGACACCAGGTTCTGGTGGGGGAAGGAGTGAGGACATCCTAGGTACCACCTTTAAAGTAGCATGCTTTCCTTAAATCAAGTCCGTGAAAGCTGGCCCAGGCCTGGAAATCTGATGTGAAGTTATGACATTTCCCATTGTAATCAACCTTCTACTCACCTTCTCTTGGTTGCTTTTGATCACACAGGTAAAGCGGCATTCTCATTGGCCATCCACGTCTCTCGCCCCTAGAAACAGCACTGCTCTGGATCCCTGAGGTTTGGGGTTTTGATTTCCTTGCAGTCTTATTGTGAGTCATGGTAATTACACCTATCTAGACTTTGACAGGTGAGGCACTATCCCTTGATTTGTGCTATTCTAGAATTCTATCATCTCATTGACACTAGGGACCCCGGTTTTGCAGAACATCTCTTACCATTAACCCTGAACCAAAGGCAGCCTCCACTGAGCAACCTCACCAGCTCATTCCTTGTTACTTTAATGAGAAAAGTGTCTGCTGAAATTTCCCAGGAAACATAATCAGCTGGAGGGCTCTCTGGTTTTATATAATGTATTCACTCTGACATGCTTAGTGCTCTGAGGCTTTTGACCACCTCCTCAGTATCTACTAAGATATCTCAACTTTATTTCCCACAGACCATCTAGGTTCCAAGCTTCAGGGAGCTATTTTATATTAGCATCGAGTCCAGCTTGCCTGACCAGGACATTAAATCCAAAACCATAGAGGTGGGTGATGGTTAATCTTGGACCTGAAAGTGACTAAGAGAAACACCTCTGGGATCTTCATTTCTGGGCAGGAAGACCTTCTTCTAGAGTGGGCAGTGCCTTTGTGCAGTGGATATGAAGAGGGCTGGGATAAAACAGAGTTGTTTCCTTGTCTTGCTTACTACTGATTATTTATTTTAATTTTATGTGTATAAGTGCTTTGCCCGTGTGTATGTCTGTGTATCACATATGTACAGTGCCCAGTGGAGGACAGATGGTGGCACATCCCTAGAACTGGAGTTACTGACAGTTGTGAGCAACCATGTGGGTGCTGGGAATTGAACCTGGGTCCTCTGGAAGAGCAGTGCTCTCAACTGGTGAGCCATCCCTGCAGCCCCCACAGCAGCCATGCTTTATTGGCATCACACTCCAGCTTCTTTGGGTTCAGCCATGGATTCCAGTGGCTCTGCGGGGATCCTTTAGGTCTTTAGTCCCAGACTGTCAGTGAGGTGTCCAGCTTTCTAGATTCACAACCTCTACACCATGCAGTGTTGTTGTACTATTCAGCCCCTATCATTGCCTGAGCCAGTGAAACAAATTCTTCGAGTAGTGTATATTCCTTCTATCAGTTCTGTTTCTCTAGAAAGCCCGGCCAGCACAGGGTGTCTCATATCATGAAGTCGTCCATATCTAGCCCATGGTCTACCTTCCTGGGTCCAGCAAGCTCAGGGCCATGCCCATAGATGTTTCCCCACATGTGAGTCGTGTCCTGCAGCTCTTGTGGGTAATGGTCTTTTTCATTCCAGTCTTGCCTCACTGAATGAAGCCATGCTGAAGCCTGACCCTTGCCTCACTGAATGAAGCCATGCTGAAGCCTGACCCTTGCCTCACTGAATGAAGCCATGCTGAAGCCTGACCCTCTCTGTCAGTCTAGAAGCAAGGAGAGGTTGCTATCTTAGAAAATGATTGTGTGGAGGAAGGGGCACATCTGCAGGCTCAGAAAAAGCTCAGCCATTTTTCTCTTAAAAGCCAAACTTTAGCTGGGCGGTGGTAGCGTACACCTTTAATCCCAGCACTCAGGACCAGCCTGGTCTACAAGAGCTAGTTCCAGGATAGCCTTCAAAGCCACAGAGAAACCCTGTCTCCAAAAACAAAACAAAACAAAACAAAGCTTAAAAAAAGTGTCTAAGTGTTTGCCTGCATGTATGTGTGTGTACTACATGCATGCCTGGTGCCTGTGGAGGCCAGAAGGCGGTGTCAGATCCCCTGAACTGGAGTTACAGATGGTGGCTGTGAGCCACCATTTGGGGGCTGGAAACTGAGCCTGGGTCCTCGGCAAAAACAGTCAGTCCTCTTAACCACTGGGCCACCCCTCCAGCCTGGTTTCAGGTTCTTAAAGGCATCCACTGAAACAAAGCCCTGTCCATTGCCAGATCCTGATCTTGTCACCATACCAGAACCCTCACCTTGGTGCTTAGGGAACTTGGGAAGACTATGAATCCATCTTTTTTTTTTTTTTTTGTGCTTAGACTGAACTGAACACAGGTCCTCACACAGGCGAGTACTCTATCTCTGAGCCATACCCAGCCCTCATCTTCCTTGGTAATTTTACCACTCTGCAATCAAAGTTTGGCCTGATTTTTGAGCACAATTTGTCCTCTAGCTACAGAGGATGAGGATCACTTTGAAGATTGCTATGCAGGCCCCGTCGCTTTCACAATGTGTCCTGATGTGATACTAGGTGGATATAAAAGCTTGCTACTTTTTTTTTCCTTCTAGGTTTCTATGGTAGATGACAATAGACAACCAACTCAGCCGTCCCTATGGTTACCACTGTCCCTGTATCTTTCAGATGCTAGAGCTGTTGAATAAGCATAACATCTCCTCTGCCTCCCAACCCTGTCTATGGGTAAGAGCTTTACTTATTGTGATAACATAACAGCAGGTACTCTCCCCCCCCCGTACCACTAGCTGTCTCCTTGGATCACTTTTGGCACCAGCTTTCTTACAGTGAGAAAGGAATCTGTCAATGAATAGCTTATTTGATGGTGTTCTCAAACTGCAATAGGGTGGAGAAAGGGAAGAGAGACAACAAGGGAAGGGACTCGGTAGATGTTCCACCTGGAGCCAAGCCCTCTTCTCTCACTCATTGCCAGTACAGAATTGCTTCTAAAGGCTACTACTCCCAGAACCTCCATCTCATCTCATCCATAAAAAGTAAAAGCCCTCAGCAGCGAGTCATAGGTGTTCACAGTGGGGTGCCATTCATTTGTGTAACCCTGGTGAATGTTGAAGGCAGTTGAGTGTGTCATTGACTGTGTCTACTCGGTAGAATGGGTTAAAATTCTCCATCCCCAGCCCCCCACACACACACATGAAGGATGGTGTCAAGGAAGCTTGTCTTTCCTTACTTGGGAGAACCATCCCTTGAGAATTTGTAACTGTCTGTACCTGACATTGGGCTTACTGCTTGAATTTATTCTCCTGAACACTCCAGAAACCCAAACTAAGAAATTAGCATAAAATTTGTCTCAGGCCAGTGATACCTGTGGGATGCTCAGCAGAAGCACACGAGGCAATAGAAAAGTCTTCATACAGCTTAAAACACCTGAATAAGGAGGCATATTGATTAATCTTGTCAATTTGATCAGGTTTGCAGACACCTGGGAAACATCTTTGGGTGTGTCTATGAGGGTGTGTCTAGAAAAGTCTAACTGAAAAGGGAGTACCCATCTTGAATGTGGGTGACAACCTGTGGCCTGGGGTCCTGAACCGAATAAAAAGGAGAAAATGAACTGAGCACCAGCGTTCATCTCTTTCTGCTTCCAGGCTGCCTCTCACGCCTGGTGCATGTCCTCCCCGCCACGATGGACTCTCCCTTCAAACTGTGAGTCAAAATAAGTGCTTCCTTGCATTGCTTTTGTAAAGATATTTTGTCACAGTAACAAGAAAAGTACCAAAGACAGGGTGGAGGAGGAGCAATGACCTGCCTGCCTGCCGGCCCGCCCACCCGCCCGCTGGCCTCTGCCTCCCAAGTGCTGCGATTAAAGGTGTGTACCACCATGACTGGCTGGGAATGACTTTCAGTGAAGCTAAATGGTATAACATAATGCTATTAAAATGGTTCATAGAGGGCTGGAGAGATGGCTCAGTGGTCAAGAGCACCGACTGTTCTTCTAGAGGTTTCAGGTTCAATTCCCAGCACCCTCATGGTGGCTCATAGCTGTCTGTAATTCCAGTTCCAGGGGACCTGACACCCATCGCAGAACACCAATGCATATAAAAATTGCAAAACCAAATAAATTAAATAAAATGGCTCATGCAGGCAGGCCATGGAAAAGGAGACATGGGTGGGGGGGTGTCTAACAGGTGTAGAGTTTCGGTTCTGCAAGATGCAAAAGTTCTGGTGGCCACAGCTGTGTGTATATCCCTAAGGTTACTGAGCCACATACTTAAAAATGGCTAAGAACGTAAGTTTTATGTTCTATATTCTTTATTACACCGAAAAAAAGATACAAAGAAAATTTAAAAACAAGGAGAATGCTTGTTCCAAGATGCTAGAGAGAAAGGAGAATGCAAATTTTTATAAACCATCTCATCTCATGCTTGAGAAAACTCTGTTGCTACAATAGAAAGGGAAGGTTTGGGAAAACACATTAAAATACTAAAATGGTTGGCAGAATTATGGGTGATGAACTTTATTTTTCTAAACCTGTTTTAGTAATCTGTCCCTTAGGACTTCAGTTTGAGAAATGGAAAACTTAGCTTGAACTCTCTCAAAAAAAATAAGGGAGTAATTTTTTGGTTCCTGTAACTGAAAAGGCCAGAGGTGAGGTGAGCTTAGGGTCGACTGAGCACAGAAGTGACCTTCAGGGACCTGTAGGTGCTTCTTTTTGCCCTTCCTCCATGGGTGCAACTTGACCTCCGAGGCTGTTTCCCTGCGTGGTGATGGCAGGGCAATAGCAGTGCCAAATGCCCATCCATGCCATACTGACCCTTGTTTTAATAAGCACCAGACAGCTGATGCTTGAGTCTCCTTGGCCATATCGTGCCTCCTCTCCATCTCTGAGTCACCATCGTGAGTAATTGCAGTCCAAGTACCGCCCACTCAAGGTGCTGACCACCAAGGCTAATGACCTGAGTTTGATCCCTATGGTGCACATGGTAGAGGCAGAGAACTGTCTCCCACAGCTGTCCTCAGATCTCTACACATATATTCACATGCAGAAAAATACATTAATTAATTAAGAAATAAATAAAAAACTGTGTTTGCTAGTCCTTAGCATACTAGTCATATGTAGAACAAAGTCATTATTCTGAAATCAGCTTAAATTCATAATCAACTAGGGGTGATATAAAAATATTTAGTGAGTAATAGAGTACAGCTATAAATCTGTGGGAGGTATCAATTGCCATTGCACTGTACTGGTGACTTGAGCCACAGCCATTATTACTTAGTCACCATCAACTCAGAGTATCACATATATCTGTAAGGTACCCTCAGCCCATCAGCATGCCAGAACATAGGTTGTACCACCAGACACAGAGCTTCAAGGGAGAGCAGGTCCATCACTGTCAATTACTAACAGAAGCATGGACTCCAGAAAGCAAAATTAAAATTCACCCAAAGTCTCCATGGTCCTCTGTGGCATTTAGTGAAGTTTTACTTCACCGGAGACGAGACAAACTAGTATCAAAATGAGATTGGTTATCTGTGAACCCACCCTGCCAATCTTCAATGTTCACATCTATAAAATGAACTCAGAATTGCCTCTAAAATCAGTTTGAAAACTTAGAGTATATTAATCTGTTTTCTACTGCTATATCAAGATAACAGAAACTGGGTGATACATAAGATTTATCTGGCTTGTATCTTAAGAGACTAAAACCCAACATCCAGCAACCTTCTTTAGCTTCTGGTGAGGGTTTCCTAGCTGTGCCGTATGATAGCATTGCAGCTGGAGGGCATGGGAGAGGGATGGGTTATATGACAAAAAAACGGGGGGGGGGGAGGAGAGCTAGAGACCAGACTAACACTTTTGTAACAACTCACACTCTCAGACACTAGCTGGGGGCCCATGAAAAACATCTGTATCTCTTCTGAGCACAGGGCCTCAATGACCTAACCATGTCCAACTAGAGTGGGCTTTTTACAAGAATATACCACCTCTGCCCACCACTAGGAAGACCAAACTGCCCAATGCACCCTCCAGAACATGACACATTTAAACCATAGCACGGGAGTGTAAACAGGTGTCTAGCTCAGGGCTTGCACATAGTGAGGAGTTAATTGATACTGAGGACCACTTATTATCTCAAGAGACAGCTGGAAAAAACTCAGACAACCGAGGAGCTTATGGATGACTTCGAAGGATGATCAGCTTCTCCAACTTCTGGAGTATGGAAAGAGCCGCTGGCCTCGCCATCATTTTGCCCCCATTTTGGGCTTGAACCATCCACTCATCCACACTGCCCCTGTCTCTAAATATAGCAAGCTGACAGCCACCAATGCTGGCAACAGCTCTTTCTGAGCTGGAGTTTCTGACAGCCCAACCTCTACAAGCTGTTCATGAGTTATTTCAAGGGACATTTTGCTGTCAATCACATACCCCTCAAGTGGACTGCACAGGCTAGGCTTGCACCGGGGATCATGAGAGGGTGGAAACAACATTTGTTTCTTGGAAATTAGCACACTGGTTCACGACCCTTAAAAGGAAGCCGAGAAAAGACATTGCTGCTAACAGGGAGGAAGCTGTTCTTACCAAGAACCCTGTCTGCATCAGTCACTGAGCCAGCTCCTGAGACCTAGCCAGAAGGCAGGCCGCAGGGCTGGGAGATGACTCCAAGGGTAACACCTTCTGAGTTGGGATCCCTTCTCAGCTAGGAAGGAGGGTTTACACCAAAGCATATACACCCTTCTCTCCACCTTCTTCCTACCTCCTGACTGGGTATTGGTGTCTGACTGCAGGGTCCTACTGTGAAAGCCTCCCCTCAAAGAGCTGTAAGAGCAGTCTACCCCCTCTTCCATTTGTGGACAGCTGCCTCCTCTTTTCAGAGACCCTGCCATACTGTCTCTAGTGCTGGGGCCTGAACTCTTGGAGCCCCAGCCGTGCTGTTGC